AGATGCTGATCAGACAGCATGATTATTGCACAGGTGTGCCTTAGGCCGGCCACAATAAAAGGTCACTCTAAAATGTGCACACAGCACGATCCTGAGGCCCATTGTTGTGCCATTCATCCACGACCATCACCTCATGTTGCAGCATGATAATGCACGGCCCCATGTTGCAAGGATCTGTACACAATTCCTGGAAGCTGAAAACATCCCAGTTCTTGCATGGCCAGCATACTCACCGGACATGTCACCCATTGAGCATGTTTGGGATGCTCTGGATCGGCGTATACTACAGCGTGTTCCAGTTCCTGCCAATATCCAGCAACTTCGCACAGCCATTGTGGCTTATATACATAAGCCACTTTAAGCATAAAAATATCCACTTCGATTACGGTGCGGTTGTCTTAGAAGTATAGTGCTTATGACAAGTGAAATGTGAGAAAAATGAGATTTTCCCCAGTTGTTGTTTTAGAACATTAAGCCCGCTGCACTACCTTTGCACTCACGTCTTGCGTCTTTTGCAGTGTCTCGAAGCACTGCCTTTTAGAATGTCCTGCGACGGGGCCCCCTCGCACTGCGGGGCTGTCCCGTACACCACTGTATACAAGCAAAACATGAGGGCTTGCATCATAAATGTTTCAAAACTCTGCTCTCTTCTGTCACATCCTTGTCTTTATTTTTCATATTGCCTGCGCATAATTTCACTGGCTTCCGTGGCAGATCACACAATAAATAAATGCATACTCACTCACTTTATGTCCTCCTTGTTTACATTGGCCGTATGACAGCGCGCTGCGCAAGTGTTGCCAAGTCCACAGTTTTACCTGGGCTACATTTTCATCGTTGCCGGCGGCGGGTTAAAGTGACCCCACTAACTTTTGAACCTTTTTCATATTGTAGTTTTTACTGATGAAAAAAAAAAAACATAAATGTAAAATCACTGTAACCCCTGGAATATCTACTATCAATTATCTCTATAAAAACATTAAAATTAATAAAGCAACAAAGGGTTAAATTGCTACTAATTGCTCCCTGTCTTATTTGTTTCTTTTTAAATTTTTCTATTTTCATGAAAGGGTCCTGAAAAAAACTTGGATCATGTTTTCCACAAAATATGAAGCAGCACAACTATTTTCAACATTAATAATAATAAGAAATGCTTCTTGAGCAGCAAATCAGCATATTAGAATGATTTCTGAAGGATCATGTGGCACTGAAGACTGGAGTAATGATGCTGAAAGTTAAGCTTTGCATCGCAGGAATAAATTACATTTCAAAATATATTAAAATATATAACCGCTATTTTAAATTGTAATAAAATTTCACAATATTGCTGTTTTTACTGTATTTTTGCTCAAATAAATGCAGCCTTGATAAGCATTTAACAAATCTTTAAATGTATTTTATTTTGGTTTGACCAAATACATGATTCGTATAGACATCAAATAGTCAGTTAAATAAAGTGAACTTACATCACCTCATGTTCACATCATCTTCATATCACACATCTGTCAAAAAACAAACAAACAATTAGCTCCAACCTTTCTGGAAAACCATGCCCTTTTCCTCAACATGTGTTTGTGTTCCTAAAAAAGACAATAATTCACAAAAGGGAGCTTTGTTGAGATAACAAGACATTTGTCCTTTCGACATCTGAGTATTGGACTCTGAGCTGCAGGATGTTTGTGGTAATTAACACGCTTTCACTGAGGCTAGCGGGAATCTCTGACATTTCACGACCTCCACCGAGCCTAGACTGAGCAAGAGTGATGGCACGAGAGACTCGAGCATCTCGGGCCCCAGAGATCTGCAGGCAAAAGGGCAAAGCAGCCAGGAACACTTGTTGTTCTGAAGCTTGCATCCCTGGGAGTGATTAGCACGTCTGTGGAGAGATGCAGAAAAGATCATGGAACATAATAAACCAGATTACTTTAGCTGTTTAAAGGTCTGCTGGCATCAAGAGAGATTTTGTTTTGAAATGTTAACATTAATGGTCTCTTGCATTTGGATTACATGGTGGCTGATGTAAATGTTGATAAATCACTAAGTCTGAAAAACGTTTGTGATGTATATGTCATATTTAAGTACACTGTAAAAATGACTTTTCAAAGTTGAAATAAAACAAAGATTATTGGAGTAGGTTTTACAAGAAAATATTATTTCAGTCTTTCTCCCTCAAAATTGTACATTTATCTCAATGTTTTACTTGCCATTTCTTTGCCATTTCTTTCTGAATGAAAAGTAAATCTAAAAGTAATTAAAAAAATAATAATACACATTATTGTATATGATTTTCATTGGTCCCATATACAGTATATATATATATATATATATATATATATATATATATAACTACAGATACATAGTAGATTTATTATATATTATAGTAGAACCTTTCTTGAGGCATCATATTCAGAATGACAGCAGTCTGAAAACATCTTTATTTCACACTGTGAAAGAATACAGACACACTTTGAGCGTTTTAAAAAGGAGTGTTATTAGGAAACAGCCAAAAAGTACAAGAACTCACATATAAGAGCCTTATAATGGGGCCTTTTTTGCAAACGTCAAGAAAACATAAAAACCTGAGGCCAGAGTACTCTGAGGTATCATAACTGGATTCTGTATTCAATAACAATAATAAAAAACTACAATCTTAATGGGCACTTGTACACATTAGCCTGTTTACATCATTTTTTAAATCGCATTTTAGTGTTAACAAACCATTCAGGCCACATTGCAGTCCAGTTAAACAGTTAACAATTATCAGACATGTTCCTCTGACTATTTTAAATATTCATGCATAACAGGCAACAGCTTTGGTAATGTGAGTGGATGTGTTTGTCTCTTTTGGAATCAGTACTAACGATTCTAAAACTGTATAACAGAAGAATTTGTAACTAATTGCTTTTTAAAAAAAATATGTATTTGTGAATAAAGGTTTTACAGATCCACGTTCACATATTGTGCATAAATTTGGTGCCAAAAACGTTGATAAAGATGAGAATATTTCAGAGTGGTCCCAAACACTTAATTTCCCTTTTTAGTGTATAAATGCTAATATCAAATTTGCCATAAATACATACCTCTCTATAAATCATACAATACAGATTATTTATAAATAGGGAACAATATCAGCCATGTCCAAAAATGGCACCGGAAATAGTGGGCCTCATGCATCAGGCGTCTGCACCTGCAGATCTTGTGATTGTGGTACCCTTCATACCCAGCGGGCCCCGTCCTCATCCACACTGTTTTGTGAAGCGTTTATTCATTTTCTTGTGAGCAACTGGCTCTCCAGAACTTCCAGTCGCTTGGTCACAGCTGACAGTGAAACACAGTTAAGGAAATATCCTTTAAAAATGATCAATCATCCACACTACTTTTCTCTAATTTTCTACTGTTTTAGGCATTAAATATATTCAAACTAGATTGCCATATATACAGTATATAGACTAGACATGCAAACCTCATTGCTACAAGTCTAGTGTGTTCTAGGTAGAGCAAATTACTGCAAATTGAGTCTCTATGATTGCATTTACTGATATTAAAATGATCACAAGTTACATATCAAAGTCTAATCATTAACTCTGAGTATGAGCGATAAAGTGCTGCAGGGATGACGTGTTTTTGTAGGCCAAAACTGAGAAATGATTTTGCATTTTAGCACTTCCAGTTCCATCGTCCTGGAGTCAGTGGGTTTTATTCTATGACATAAAATACATCAGAAATACCCCCTTGTGAATAAAATTTTTTTTAAGAGGTGGCTAAATGGGACTACAGAGGGTGTTGGGGACATCACATCAAACAGGCCCACACGGAAATTTAATATATGACTTACATATGGCAATATCACTCTTGATATAGGACAATATGTTACCTATAAGTTACATGTACATTCTCTGATGGGTTAAAGATATACGTTTATAACATATATATATATATATATATATATATATATATATATATATATATATATATATAAAAAGTCAAATTTGCATATGTATGTTCAATATCAATATCTATATGTACAATATCTATATATGAGTTTTTATGTTATTATATGTAGCAATCATGTCAACAATATATACTTATTTATGAAACTTTATTAAAACAACACATATACAAAATATCAGTGTTTATATGTTTATGCAATCCATTTTTAAAATGCATCTCTATCTTTGATATTTACTGATATATTGATTTTTATATTTACTTTGAAATTTATAATATCAAAATGTATTGATGGGTTTTATCATGTGCATGACATATATGTCCACAAATGTATTACAACATACACATAAACATACATATTTGTATGGGCTAGATATATATGTTAATATATGAAATTGTACCGATTTCTAATAAGTTTCATACTTATTTTTACAACATATGGCAATATAATCACGCTCTTGCAAACAATTCTAACTCAAACTTTCAGGGAACATTTTTGAATTAAGACTGAAAGAGTTGTTCGTTTATAGCCTATGTTTAATTCATAAAAGTTGTGTTCATTTATGGAGATGATCATGATGAACAAAACAAGAATCAAACTTTTGTTGGTCACAGAGCTTATTTTCTGCAATATTCCAAAAGCCAATGGAAAAATCCTTTTGGGTTTTTATCGAAGGAACCAGAGTAATGTGAATTTTTATGTTGGCCTACAAAAATACATCATCACTGCAGCACTGATTTACATATTTGCATGCAAAAAGTAAATGACAGTGGCCTTTTTGGCATCTCTGATGAGAAAATGATGAGAAGATGATTTGGGAATTAGCTTGTGAATTGCATCGCTTGAGCAAAAGAGCTGAAAGTGTCTGAGCAATGCACTCTAACCACTAAATCCAAGTGTAAATGACTCCTATCAGCAAGATCTGTACATAAACTACAATGAGAGCCAAGAAGCAACATCCTTCCTTTGTAATCTCATCAAATTCTAGTTAAATGAATCCAGTGGAGACATGCATCTGCATTTAGTTGTTCAGAAAAATCAGTTTCTGGCCTCAGACGTGGGACAAGGGCTCTTTTGAGCTTTGATGAATGATGCTGAGTGAGAGATCTGAAACAAAGAGCCATTGAAGCGTGTGGTCACAGAGGTTTATGTGAGAAGCCAAACCAGAGGGGCCAGTCTGGAACAGATCAGACCAACGGACACAATGTGGGCTCTTTCTGTACAGAGGGGCTTCTGTTAAACCCCTTAGCTTGTTGTAATAATGCGTTAATCTTCAGGTTATACCGGAGAAAGTTTGGAGTTGGATGAGCTACACTGCAATGTTGCATGGTGTAGTAAGTTGCATGTGCTGAAAAGAAAGCATATTGTTTCTAAAGGATCTGTACTGAATATATAAAGGATATGCTTCTGGTTCAGCTGGTCTAGGGTGGATATCGTAACCTGCTGGAACTCCACTAGACTTTCACAAGCGCAGGGGTCCTTGACCTCGATCTCTCCTTGACTCTCAGCTGAAAAATTATGCATTTAATGAGTGCGAATGAAATAAATAACCAATATTCATTAAAAATCATTTCCCTAAATTTGCATTTATGCATTTGGCAGAAATGCAAATTTGCAGGGAATGCTTTTTATAAGGAACCTGAGGTAAGCATTGCATGTGCATGTTTACCTCAGGCTCGAGATGGCGCTATTGAACAAAATGGTGTGCGGTTGTGTCTGCCATCTAATAAAGATGATTCATGTACAGTATGTAAGTGTTCTCAGTCTTTCAAACACACCTGCACAGACATTGAGTTTGAGGTTCTCGGCGATCTGGCTGATGGCAGTGAAGTCGGCGGTGTAGAAGAAGTGTTTTTCCATGGGCTCAGAGGCAATCTCTCTCAGCTCATCCTCCACGGCTTTACCCACACCAACAGCGTACATGGTGATACCTGGAACAAGACACACATCAAAAGTTGCACTTTTCATGAAATGAGTAGAATTTCTTTTTCTTTTTCAGTAAAAAGCTAAGTGAGAAATGCTTAACTATATTAATTTTATATGAGGTTTGCGATTTGGAATATCTGACATAAAAAAAAAAACGCACACACACACATTTTATCTAATTTTGTTTAATCTTTTCTAGCAATAAATCAGTAAAATTATATATATAAAAGAATATTACTTTTTAAAAATGTAAATACATTTTTATATTTCTATAAAATATATATTTACAATAAAAACTCAATGTTAGAAATATTTTTATTTGAAAAACTATTATTTTTATTATACAGGTAGTCTTATGCTAGTTCGAGTACAAATGGAGAATTTTAAAATTTTGTTTATATGTATTACAGACTAATATGCTCCAAATTGTCCATTATAAAATGAATAGATCTTTAATACGTATAAACACATTTTTTAAAATCTGATATTACTTAAAATCTACTATGAATCTAATATGATTACATTAAAAACTTTATCTCATTTCTTTCAAACTTTTATAGCAATAATATTTAAAAATAAATAAAATATTTACAATCAAACTAAAAGTTGAAAAGCTAGACTAGTCTAAATTTAGATTTGTTTTTAATTTTGATAAATTAAAGAAAAATATTATTCATTTCTAAAATTATTATTTTTATTACAAAGCAATTTTCTATGTATTTATTACTAAAGCTTGAAGTTTATGTTGTCTGTGACTGTAACACTTTTATTTTTGGCCCCTAAATAACAATACCTGCTTCCTTGGCCTTCTTGGCCCACTCTTGAATATCATCCTGTGATCGTCCATCAGTAAAGACAAGGCCGACCCGTGGGATGTTCTTCTCAGCAGGACGGGCTCCATCAGCCTCAGAGAAGCTGTTCTCCACCATGTGTTTGAGAGCCAAGCCTGTCATGGTCCCCTTCTCCATGTACTCCACATTCATCACAGCCTTTTTGATCTCTTCTTTTGTCTGATACATGCTGAGTGGAAACTCTGTCCGCACTCGGCTTGAGTACTGGACGAGACCCACGCGTGTTCCTTTAGGGGAGACATCCAGCTGATCCACCACCTGGTTAACAAACTGCTTGACAAGCTCGAAATTCTGCGGCCGCACACTCTTGGAACCATCGATGAGGAGGACCAAGTCGATGTTGGAGGATCGACAGGCTTGGAGAGGGCAAGAGAAATGAACAACCATGCATTTCAAAACATTTTGTTCCATTAGCAGAGAAGGTGGGGCATATTTTGTATTTTCAAAGGTGTCTAATTTTGTGCCACAAAATTTTGTGTCAAACTATACTTTGTAGCTTTAGGAATTCAGCATTAGGAATTTCCCCGTTTCAAATAAAGTTTAGGATAATCTCAGCTGTAATAAGGGTCTTCTGAATGAAAGCGTGCATTACTTCCGCAGGTCTTGCCGTCGTCCTGTAGCACATGGCCCTCAGGACATATACAGTGGTATGATCCCGGAGTGCTCACACACTGGTATTCACAACCATGTTCGACTGTGTTACACAAGTTATCCGCTGCAGAAGACATAAAAATAAAGAGCATAAACAATTAAAAAAACATGAAACGGATTCATGAGATGAGTGAGAAAAGGAACATAATTTACGATTGTGGTCAGTAACGAAAATGTATTATTTTCTTCAGCTAGGATGCATTAAATTGATCAACTGTGACAGTAAAGACATTTATATTTCCACAAAAAATATTAAGCAGCACAACTGTTTTCAACTTAATATTATTATGCACAAAATCAGCATATCTGAATGATTTACATTTTCCAGACACTGTAATAGTGTTTATCAGATTTATGCACAATTTCAAGAAATGTGCTTGACACCAATTTGCTGTAAATACTTGCAAGAAAAACTGTATAAATGTGAATAAAACGTAATTTCTGCTATACATTTCATTGGTAGCTGAAAGCGGAAATCTGGTGAAGGAATGACTTGGCTCTTTAAAGCAAATGTCCAGAGCCTTTAGGTAAACTTAACAAAAGATAAACGACACACTTGATATTTTTGGCCTTTCCAGCTGTTCAAGGCCAAGGTCTGGGAAGGCCATCAGGCTTAAAGAGGGGGCGCTCACTTCCGAGCCAGCTGATTTTGGACAGTTTTAAAGAGTTTAGGCCAAGATAACCATACAGTGTTAAGCAATTCGAGCACAGTTTGGGAACTGAATATCTTTATGGGGTGGATTAATCGGATAATCAACTTGGAAGATCAATAAATCATACTGTATCTTATCACAAATGTTGTGAAAGCCAAAAAACCTGAATGATCATTTGAAAAGTAAATGTTTTGCTCTTGAAAATCACTCAATAAAACCATGTCAATATGCACTAAGCTAAATCTACCACTGCTTTTTAAACTATTATTTTTTGCAATTGTTTGTGAAAACCTACTAATTGTTATCTTTGCACCTTCAACTAAGAAAAGAGGCAATATTTTAATATATAAAACACTTTAATCCACTCTAATACAGTCATTATAGCAGAACAGGAAGACTTTTAGCACCTGTCAGGAGCTTCATACATACACTGGCAGGTTTTTCCATCCTCCTGAAGAGTGTATCCCTCATTGCAGCGACAGTAGAAGCCATTGAGCACACTAACGCAGTGATGATCACAACTGTGATTCCCAAATGAACAGTAATCAATCACTAAGAGACAAAAACAAAGGCAATAGTGTTTTAGTATAAGCTAACAGGGCAAAACATCCTATAGAATTGTGACCCAAACACACATGCAAGATCAACCAAAAAAATTATCATAAAACTTATAAAAGAGCATGACGTAACTGTCCATTTTAGGAAAATTACAACTATAAAAAACAACATCATGAGAGCTGAACAATTGAACTGCTTCCAAGTCAATATGTGTCAATTGTGTATATGGATCTGGAACAGTATGTGTGTTGATCAGTTACTCTCACTAACTTGTGCAGGTCTTCTTGTTGTCATTGAGAGTGTATCCGTCCTTACAACGGCAGTAAAAGCCTTTCAGGACACTCACACACTCATGCTCACAGCTATCATTCCCAAATGAGCAGTAATCAATCACTGGAACAGGAAGAGAATAGCAGGAAACAGACTTTAGAAAAGCAGAAAACAGTGTAAGCAATTCACAAGTTGCATCTCAAAGTTACTTAAGTTCCGTATGCTGTCGTCGAACACTTAGGAAGTAGAATGTTAACGGTTAAACCAGCTGGTCCAAAAGGGATAGAGTGTAGAGTTCATAATAAAACAGACGTATTTATTTTGTGATGTTAATTTTATGTTTTGTCCCTGCTGTGAGTGCTTGTTTGATGCTGGATACCGTTCACCAGCAAAACCTGTGGAAGCCAATTGCCACCTCACAAAATAAAAAAAGAGTTGCGACTTGAGTCTTCCAGTTTTGATCTTATTTAATTCAAATTTATACTTTTATTCAAAACTCTGGAGTTGGTAAGATTTTGTCAGTTTTTGAAAGAAGTCACTCATGCTCACCAAGGCGGCATTTATTTGATCAAAAATATAGTAAAAACTGTAATTTAGTGGAATATTGTTACACTTTAAATTATTATTTTTTTCTCGATTTGAATACATTTAAAATGTAAATTATTTCTGTGTTCAAAGCTGAATTTTCAGCATCATTACTCCAGTCTTCAGTGTCACATGATCCTTCAGAAATCATTCTAATATGCTGATTTGCTGCTCAAGAATAATTTCTGATTATTAGCAACATTGAAACAGTTGTGCTGCTTCATATTTTTGTGGAAACTGATATATTTTTAAGATTCTTTGCTGAATAGAAAGTTAAAAGGAAATCGAAATCTTTTGTAGATGTCTTTACTATCACTTTAAATCAATTCAATGCATCCTTGCTGAATAAAAGTATTGTCTTTCAAAAAATATATTCTTTTGAACGGTAGTATATACCTTACCTTATCAATTTTATTTTTTACTCTGAAGCGGAAATGGGCTTCCATAAAAACTAACAAAAGAAAGTAACAAAAGAATGTTGTGCATAACAGTACATGAGTGTGGAGTTTGATATGTCGCCCTCACTAACTTGTGCAGGTCTTCAGGTCATCATTGAGTGAGTATCCTTCATTACAGCGGCAGTTAAAGCCTTTGAGCACACTCACACACTCGTGCTCGCAGCTATCATTCCCAAATGAGCAGTAGTCGATCACTGGAACAGGCAGAAAGAAGCAGAGAAGCTCAAAATCTGGAGTAAGACGAGCAGCCAAAGTAGTTGGCAAAGAGCAAAATGTTTTGTGAGAGGAAGAAGCATAGAAAGGAAACTTGTAAAAATGCTATTACATTTATTTTTCTACTGAGATGTGGTTGTTTCATGGATTTGGAGTAAAGCATGGACTTACTGGATTCATAAAGGATATTAAATATTTTGGTTTTGTACTCAAGTATCAAATTAGGGTTATGGATATTCTGTGAGCATGTGTATTTATGTACGTTGAGTTTAAACGTGGCCTTCACTAACTTGTACAGGTCTTCATGTCATCATTGAGTGAGTATCTATCATTACAAACGCATTGAAAGCCTTTCAGGACACTCACACACTGGTGCTCGCAGCTATCATTCCCAAAAGAGCAGTGATCAATCACTAAATATGGATTAGATGGATTTAAAGTACATGACCAAACAGGATAAACGTTTTTTCTTTTATATTAATGTTATAATTCAGGTATTTTCTCAGTTCTTTATCATGAATATGGCAGAGAACTTCTCTTGGGCCATCACAAATAACACATCTCTTATTGCCCTGTTGAAAAAAACAGCATATGCTGGTTAGGAATGTTTTGACGCTGGGATGCTGGTTTAAAATGGTCCTTTGCTGGTTTATGCTGGTCTTTTGCTGGTTTATGCTGGTCCTTTGCTGGTTTATGCTGGCCCTTTTGCTGGTTTATGCTGGTCATGTGCTGGCAAAGGACCAGCATAAACCAGCAAAGGACCAGCTTAAACCAGCAAAGGACCATTTTAAACCAGCAAAGGACCAACATAAACCAGCAAAGGACCAGCTTAAACCAGCATCCCAGCGTCAAAACATACCTAACCAGCATATGCTGGTTTTTTCAACAGGCATGGGGCCATTTGGACCAAGTCTGTTGGAGTTTTAATTCAGAAAATCCTTGAATATTGGAAACACTCCACCATTTAGAAACGTGATTACAAGTTAAGCAATGGATGGCCCAAATATTGATGCTAAACAACTGAGGAAAAAAAGTATGGAAATGACATAAGTGAAAGCATAAATCGATTGTGAGCCTTCACTAACTTGTACAGGTCTTCTTGTCATCGTTGAGTGAGTATCCATTAGTACAGCGGCAGTTAAAGCCATTGAGGACACTCACACACTCGTGCTCGCAGCTATCATTCCCAAATGAGCAGTAGTCGATCACTGGAACAGGCAAGGAACAGTGAGAAAAGCAGGAAGAGCAAAACCACATCAAACTAAAATACAAGCTGTTTATCTTGTTTCAGAACAGTTAAGCTGCTAAAACTATATGCATGTATCTAGCAGTGCTTGGCTAGCTTAAATCAGCAACGCTAACTTAACTACATTCAGCAGCATGACAGTAGCTTAACTACCTTCAAAACAGTGTATTTTTCCAGTAACAAGCTAGTTGTGCTAACAAATAGCAGTGTAGCAGGAAAAATGCTAAATCACAGTTTTGTGCCAGATACCTCCTAATAGCGGAGTTAGCTACTTTTTGCAAGTAGCTTGTAGCATATTTAACAAATAGTAGCTTGTACAGTACTTGTATTAATTTACTGCAGCTTGCTGCTAGTCACAAAAACCATGCTATTTGTGCTAAATCACAGATTTTAAGGTATTACTTACAAATGGTTTTGTGCCAGATAACTACTTTTGTTAGCCTTAACTGAGCTAGCTTGTGCAGTGCTTTTATTAATTTGAAATGTAGCTTGCTAAGCTACAGTTATAAGTAAAATGCTACTTTTGCTAACAAAAGTACAGCATGGTAAAAATGCTAAATCACAATTTTTTAAGATGCTACATTGCTTACAAATGTTTTTGGGTTACACTTTATTTCGATAGTCCACTTTAGACATTCTATACCTATACATTACCTATAAGTAAATTTGTAACTACATGTCAACTACATGTCAACTAATTCTCATTAATTTGCAACTACATATCTACTAACTCTCAGAGTAGACTTAGGGTAGGTTTAGGATTAGAAGAAAAAGTTGACAAAGAAAGTGTTAGAAGATATTAAGCAGACAGACTGCTAATACTCTACTAACTGCTAGTTGACATGTAGTTGCAAAGTTACTTACTGTTAATAGAATGTCTAAAGTGGACTATCGAAATAAAGTGTTACCTGTTTTTGTGCTAGTTAACTACTAATAATATCCTTAACAGATACTTTTTGCTTGCAGCTTTAAAGTAGCTTCCCCATACTACTTATAAACCAAAAACGCTCAACTATTTGGCTATGTTTTTACTATTTACTATAAAAACTGTACAGAACTAGAAGCTCAAACACTAAAACACTCTATTTTGTTCAGTGGCTTGATAGATAAACCAGCTAGTCACAGGAGGAAACGGATAGATAAGTAGTGCTAGTGTGCTTTATAGCAGCATATGCGGCCAAGCGGATGCTGTGATGACATTGAAAACTTTCTCTTTGCATTAGAAACTGTTCCATGTGTTTGAAAAATGTTAGTTAGGAGAATGTCTGAGTCTGGCATTTAATTATAGTCTTGTAGTGTTTTGGGTATTCGTGAGTCCTCCGTATGTGAATTATGTGTGTATCCGTGGCCCTCACTAACTTGTGCATGTTGTTTCATCCTCATTGAGTGTGTATCCTTCACGGCAGTGGCAATAAAAGCTCTGAAGCACGCTCACACACTCGTGCTCACAGCTATCATTTCCAAATGAACAGTAGTCGATCACTGAAACAGGCAGACAGAAGCATGAGACTTTGGTGATGGTAAAACACAAGCAAAATTCATCGCTGCCTTTTAAAGTTTGCATTTGGCGATACTATAGCATACAGCTACTATGCAAACATCCAAGAAATGTTGGTTCATTATTTTCTGCTTGTTTTACATCACCTCCTCTGTATTAATGTTATATACTGAATGGAATACTATTGCAATACTACACAGCATATACTTTTTTATATTTTAAAAAGCATTGCAAGTTGCAGGGAATTGCTCTCACTAACTTGTGCAGGTTTTCAGGTCATCGTTGAGTGAGTATCCTTCGTTACAGCGACAATTAAAGCCATTGAGCACACTCACACACTGATGCTCGCAGCTATCATTCCCAAATGAGCAGTAGTCAATCACTGGAACAGGCAGAGAACGGTGAGAAAAGATTTTGGGTGAGTAATCAGGTGTTAAAGACCCCATGAAATCTGGATTGGATTTTCTGGATTTTAGTCCATGTCTACTCATTTTAAAGCCAAATAGGCTAGTGTACTTCCTTCTTCAATCAGTGTTTTTATAGTTATCTGACTGAAGAGTAAAAATTAAAGCTAAAACAAAATATTAATAAATACTGTAATAGTATTTAAATAACAATAAAATAAAGATGGCTTCAATGGAAAAATATGTTAGGAGAGGAAAAATGCTCATCAAGTAATTTCATTGGATCTTTAAGTTTGCATTACACAAGTAAGCATACTATGTGCTGAGGCACAATATACTGTGCTGTACAATGGCAGAGCAGGTGTATATTTAGTATACAGTATGTTCCTTTGGCTATGTTCAGAATGGAATACTAGTGTATACACTGCTGCATACTGCATATACTGTATACTGTAATTTTGGCAAACACAGTTTAGATATTTCATGCATACAGAATATTTGCATACTGTGTTCAGTATACATAATGCATACTGCTAAAATAGTATGAATAGTAGTACACTATTCCGAACATAACCTTTGTCTGTATACTCTATGAAACATATAAGTTCATGTCAATTTTACAATTTACACTTCACTCAAATTGTTATGCAGATATCACTATTGTGTGTCACTAACTTTTGCAGGTTCTCTTGTCATCGTTGAGTTTGTATCCTGTGTTACAGTCGCACGTGAACGACCCGGGTGAAGCGATACAGATCTGCTCACAATCATGCTTCCCTTCAGCACAAAGATCAATGGCTGCAAAGCAAACACACACCTGTTGAGCACCGCTGGAATGATAATTGTGACATATTTCTATGATGTGTCATTTGTAAGGCTACACACGTGTGCAGGTCTTGCCGTCCTCGTTGAGCGTGTATCCAGGCAGACAGAGACAGTGGTAGGAGCCAGGTGAGCTCTCACAGATGTGCTCACAGCCGTGATCTGATTCCAGACACAAGTCCATCCCTGCAAATCCAACGCATATATGAGTACCGAGAAAGCAAGAAAAGCTAAATCACAGTGTCCATTGGCTGTAAAAGAAACAGTATTCATGTGCTTACAGTCAACATAAGGTTTCAGCAAGAAAAAAAATGAAAAGTGGGACTGATATAAAGCTCAAATGACAATGTGAACCAATGAGAGCATCTCAAACAGTGTTTACAGTTTTTATTTAGTTTTGACTTTTGACAAAATGTCTTTTAAATGAGTCAAAATCTTTATTTTTATTCCATTTTACTCTCAAATTTTTTTGACAAAATAAAGAATAAAAATGTAGACTATGATTAATTAGCTATATTTATGATTAAATGATTGTAAAATATTTTAGAAAGAATGGAATGCTTAATTTTTTTATTTTGTATTATTATTTATGATTATTTTATATATTTAATTGCATTATAAATGTATACAGGATTGTACTTTTTTTTAAAGAACTTAATACTTTTATTCAGCAAGAATGCATTAAATTGATCAAATTTTTTATAAATACTGTAGTAGTATTTAAATAACAATAAAATAAAGATGGTTTCAATGGAAAAATATGTTATGTATAATTGTAAAATATTTGAGAAATAATGGAATGCTTTTATTATTATTATTATTATTTATGATTATTTTATATATTTAATTACATTATAAATGTATACAGGATTGTTCAAAAGTTCCTTTTAAGAACTTAATACTTTTATTCAGCAAGAATGCATTAAATTGATCATTAAATTAATCAAAGGTGATGGTAAAGGCATTTATAAAGACACAAAAGATTTCTATTTCAAATAAATGCTGTTCTTTTGAACTTTCCATTCATCATAGATTATTATTTTATAAAAAAATGTATCACGGTTTCCAAAAAATTATATTAAGCAGCACAACTTTATGATAATAAACAGAAATGTTTCTTTTTATTCTTTTTATCAAATTTTTTATTCACTTAATCAGCATTAGAATGATTTCTGAAGGATCATGTGACACTGAAGACTGGAGTACACTAATATTGTGAAATACTATTACAATGCACTGCAGCTTGTTTGCACGCAGAGGAATGCACACGCATGAGGGTGAGTAATTAATGACAGAATTTTTTTGGGGGGTGAACCCCTCTAACAGACCCTAAACTTTTTGAATGGTAGATTACATCCTTTGTTTTTCTAAGAAAAAAATTGCACCTTTGAGTTGAGGTTTGAGGTTCAAACCTTTTAGAAAATAATCCAAAAAAGTTGAAAAGTTCAACTTTTATGTCTAGATCCTTTCACTACTGTGGAGCATATATCAAATAGGGGAACACTTTACCACAAAGCTTGTCTTGAAACTGAAGCCCAAACTGGTGAATGAGGTCAAAACTCTCCACCAGGAACACGTGATCCTCAAATGGTGGAGACGCCATAGCTCGCAGTGAGGTCATATCAGCCCTGGCGACACCAATGGCATAGATCTCAATCCCAGACTCCCTTGCAGCTGCCGCCACTTCAGCCACGCGGTCCTGAGGGCGACCGTCTGTCACGATAACAGCTACGTGGGGAACGTTGGGACGGGCGCCTTCTTCTGCAGAGAAGGCTACATTCATAGCATAGCGGATGGCCAGGCCGGTCATAGTGCCCTGTGCCAATGGAATGATCTCGTTGATGGCTTTGACCATCTGCGTAGTCTTACTGAAGGCTTTGAGAGAGAACACATTCTGGACTTGACTGGAGTATTGGACCACTCCAACTCTTGTAGCTTCCAGACCAATGTCCAGCTCATGGATGATGTCTATCATGAACTTGCGCATTGTCTCAAACTCATGGGGACGAACGCTGCGGGAGCCATCAATGATGAACACAAGGTCGACTGGGCCAGATTTACACTTCGGTTCAGCTGTAAAAAAATGGAAAAACATACAATGACAATACCGATTCAGTCTAAAGCTACAAGTAAATAAGAACACTAGGTTCTTTACTGGCATTGATGGTTCCATAAAGAACCTTTAACATCCATGGAAACTTGCACAAAAGTTTCTTTATAGTGGAAAAAGGTTCTGCAGATTATTTAAAATGTTGTTCAAAACGAACTTCTTTTAAGAACTGTTTAATGAAAAGTCCTTTGAGAACCAAATAATGGTTCTTACACTATCATAAATGAAGGTTCTTTACAGGCATAGATGGTTCTTTGGAGAACCTTTAACATCCATGAAACTTTTCAGTCGCACAAAGGTTCTTTATATTATTAAAATGTTCTTCACACTAAGAAAAATAACTTTTCACTGAAAGGTTCTTTGGAAACCAAAAATTTTTCTTCTATGGCATTTCTGCAAAAACAACTCCTGGAACCTTTATTTTTTATAAGTGTACAGTGTTTTCCAAAATAAGTGCCATGTTTCATTGATATTTGAAAGTGTTGAAAACCTCACAACAGACATGGAAGCTAAAATTTTAAAACAGACCACTCAAATCTTAATGAAGAGGACAATTTGGCATATTTCAATGCAATCGTTGGTATTACCAAACCAAAAATGGTACAGATCTGTTCTAACAGTGTTACAGATGCAAATAAAATGCATCTGAAAACCATTCACAAAACCATTGAAACTCAAGAGACATTTAGAAACCTAACACTCAAAATGTGAAGTCAATTTTCTTTTTCAGCCCCATCTCATATGAATAATTTTGCATATTGGGCCTATGTAGTTCATGCTTATATAACATTTTGGTTTAGATTTGCATGTATAATCTGAATCCTGAAGCAGTTGAGAACTACAGATCTAGTAGTTGATAAAAAAAACAAATCTTCGGTGGTCGCCTGGTTTGCCAATAACAACACAATTGTGCCACCACTAAATGCTTAGTGTAATCGACAGACTCTGAAGTAGAGTCTACTTCCCTTACTGCCAAGATTGATTTATTAGTGTTATGACGGCGGTTTAACCAACCTGATTTAGGCCTTGCTTCCGTCGCAGCCATTATGGCTATTAGCACACCAATGTACACCAACGCACGTGTCATGTTTCGTCGACAAAGGACAATCTTGCCGCAAAAATCCCAATGGCTGTAGCTGGAGAAGAGAAAGAAAGAGAAAAATTGCAGGTCAAGGGAAATCTGTGATTTAAAGGCAGCCATACATTCCAGTCTGAGCTCGCAATAAAATGGCGACACCAAACAGATGGTCCACAGCAGCAGCTCTAAACAGGCCATTAACATGGAAGAGTTCATAGACTTTTGGGCCGATCACATCACCAGAGGCACCGAGTTCAAATGCTGTGTGAAGTAATTGCTGGAAAATAACAGCGTCTGGGACATTGGCATTGTAAACGGCGTGCTGTCTGTCACTTTGACTTTCACAAGAGGATTTGCTTCTCCAAAGGCCTGATAAGGTTATCACTATCAGAGGGCTACAGGATGGAGGAGTGTGTCATGGTTTGGCATGAATTTTTAATGTCTTTGAACTCAGCAGATAAACAGCCAGACAGATTAGTGCTGTGCTGCTTTTCTATCTGCTATTCAATTATTTCAGCTGTATACACGTTGCAGTTGAAGCTGATATGCTTACAGGCATAATTAATTCAAAATTCTGTCATCATTTACCTACGCTCATGTCATTTCACGCCGCAAAAGGTACAATAAAAGTTGTCTATATGACATATCCACTATATTGCAAATATATTTGCAACTTCTGAGGTGAAATGTAAGCTTAACACAAGGATAGACCCCAATTTAACCCATTAAACTGGGAATGCATTAAACTGATCAAAAGTGGCAGTAAGGACATTTATGTTATAAAAGATTTCTATTTCAAATAATTCACAGTTTCTATAACATATAAAGCAACACAACTGTTTTAAACATTGACAATAATAAGAAATGTTTCTTGAGCAGCAAATCAGCATATTAGAATGATTTCTGAAGGATCATGTGACACTGAAGACTTGAGTAATTAAATAAATACATTACAATTTAAAATATATTAAAATAGAAAATAGTTATTTAAATTGTAATTATATTTCTCAATTTTACTGTTTTTACTGTAAGTTTCATCAAATAAATGTAGCATTGGAACATAAAAAAATCTTACCAACCCCAAACTTTTTCAACCATAATATACGTTACACTTTTGATGTGAACACTCTCAATTGTTAACGTGTTTGCCAAAAAATGTGCACTAATACATATTCAGACTTGCCTCATTGTGAACGCAACCAAAGGAGGTCAGCATCACTGACATATAATTAAATATATACAGAAACACAAGAGATGTAAAATGCAATAATTTTGGTCTGTTTTTCTATAGTATGGCTTCAAAAGACTTGGAATATAGTATTAAATCCTCTATTTTATGGTGCTTTTTTGTCATTTTTGGTCGATCTGGAAGATAAAAATCAAACAGATTTGAAACATAACATGGGTAAGCAAATAACGACAGAATGTTCATTTCAGGGTGAATTAACCTCTTTCAAATTCAAAAATGAAAAAGATGTCACACATGCATCCCTACACTAAAAATAATTCCGTATAATTTACGGTAAAAAACCGGCAGCTGTGGTTGCCGGAATTTTACCATAAAAAATACAGTAGCGTTTTAGGTTTTACGGTTTTAACTTAAATTTACAGTTAAATACCGTAATTTCATTAACTGAAAAAACTAAGAAGAAACATAGTTATTTCAACAAAAAAACATCAAATTTGAAATGTAACGCAGGGAATTCTGGGAATGTCAATTTACGGTTATTCACTGTAAATTATATATTCTTTTTCACTTCGAAAAACGGTAAACTACCGTAAAATTTATGTCCAATGCATGCAATGTCCAATACAGTTTTTCACTGTATATAGTAGGGGAATTTACCGTTAACCATTTAACAGGATTTTATAGTAGCATTTTTACAGTCTTTTACCATTAAATTCACGGTCATTTTTTACAGTGTATGTACTACTCTACTTCTCTCAGCATGAGATTTGAAGTGACCTCTATGACCAGTGCTGGTTTGTGGTTTCTCTAAGCCATGACCGTCGGTTTCAGTGGCATCCAGGTTAACGGCAGACTTCAGTCCCTTGTGTGCTAATATAATGAAGCCCTCTGTGCTATATGTGTACATTAGGCTTTGAGTGAGTGCGCACGAGCTGCCGAGGCCCTTAACTCAGCTTTGATTATTTCCACACTGAATGGTCACACTCATCGTATAAGCAGATTCATAAAATTTAAGAGGTCCTTTAATGTTTACAGAGAATAGAGCATCTTTATTGGCTTATGGATGGCAGCCAATGTCATATTTAACAACATTATATTATGGACTACGTCTAGCAGACATATAAAGAGGAGCTGTTATTCCAGTCCATTTGCATGTACTGATATTTTACTGATAAATCATTTCCATTTAACTGGCTTTGAAGAGCATGCAGTCCCTTGTAAAGGGGGTTTGCTGATTTAATGAACACATACACCCCATTTTTTACAATTTCAGGCCCTGCATCTGGAAAAGATGCAAATTCACTACCGACTTGTGTAAAATCACTTATCCTCTTCAGCCATGATTCCTGTTTGCTTGTTATTCATGGTCATAACTTAAAAGCCAGATAGGTTTGGTGTCCATGTTTTACCCACAAATTAAGCAACATTTGTACTAAATGTCCCCCGCATTCATTTCTATTTGGACTTTACGCTTCATTCTGTGTTCACTTGTATCAGTTACTGCTTGCCACGTGAAGGGAGGCGTGAGAATTCAGCACCTGAGTACAGGTGACTATCTATGAAAACAAACACAAATATAGATTTACAAATACTCCTAGGCTGATAACACAGTTATTGGAAATGGAGATGGAGACGTCTTCTTACAACAGAGCTCTGACAGTTACACTATTGCAAAAGGACAGAATAAAATAAAACCAGTTGGCATGAATAACAGTGGAGTGTCTGGCGCTATAGAAGAGTTTAGGAAGTTTTCAAAGTGGCTGATGTATACCTGAACACCATGCAGGACCAAAGGAAAGGAGATAGAGAAACAGGTCAGTACAAGAAATATGGTAACAATGGTGGCCATTGTTTTAAGCAAATTAAATAAATGAATTTTTTATTTATATTATATAATATTTATAAAATAATGTTTTTTATTTAGTAAAAATGAATAAAACTAATAAAAGATAAGCATGCTAACAATGATGTGTTTTTTGTAAACAAAATAAATTAAATGTATTTTTATGTTATATAATATGAATTCATATTTATTACATAATATTTTATTCATTAATTAAAAATGAATACAAATAATAAAAGGTAATCATGTTGACAATGGTAAGCATTATTTTAAACAAACATAACTTTTTATTTATATTATATAATATGAATTATATATTTATTGAGATTGAGTGAAAAATAAATAAAGGAGAACCATGCAAACAATGGTAGACATTATTTAAAAAATAAATAAATAATATTTTGCATTAGAAAGTCTATTTAATGATCTTTGTGCAATGTGCCATCACTCTCCTGACCGTTTTAGTTCATCATTAAAATAAATAAAATATTAATTTTTTTAGACCTTGAAATATTTATTATATAATATTTGTATAAAAATAAATACAATTAATAAAAGAGAACGATGTTCTCCAAAAAAAAATCTTATTTTGAATAAAAAAGCTGTTTTAGGATCTTTAAAATTAGTAATATTCCAACATTTACCTGACAATTAAGCAGTTAAAATATAAAATAAGTCAAATAAAAGAATATGTATATGTAATTTATATGATATAATATTTATTATATAGTATTTGTAGATATTTATTAAAAATAAATAAGAAAAATCTCAAATTCTCATTAGTTTAAAGCATTAAAATAAATATCTGATTCCCAGCATAAATCTTTTATCAGCATAATTTAAAGGCATTACAATAAAAACTACCATTACAATTTAAAGAACATAGAATTAATTAGCATGAAATGCAAAGAGCTAATAAAATAGTACTAAATAAGCTTTCTCGTATTCTTTAAGCAAAGTAGATTTTTATTTTTGGCTTTGGGGTAAAATATGATCTTGTTCATCACAGGTTTCATCAATCTCTGAGCATTAAAAATTAGGAGAAAAAAATGGATGGGAAAATGTAAAATTAGATACAAATAATGTGTTTTTTGAACATTAAAGCATGTCAACATATTCTGTTACACCAAATACACAAAGTAATTATCTTTAAAAAAAGGATCATATGACCCCTTTAATAGAATGCTAAAAAGTAAAAAAAATATTGTTTTTATACAAGAATTGCTTTTATAGCAAAGAATAGTTTTCAAACATTAGTAACTATGCTGCATTGTCCAGTGATATTGTGGTTGCTGCATGTTTTGCTTTCTGATAAAAAAATTAATTAATAAAAAAAGAAAAAAAATTGCAGCTGACAGCTTGTGCCTCATTCACTATACTTAAAAAGGAAAGCCAATTTGGGAGTACTGCATTATGGGTGACAGTTTTACACAGTGTGCTTTGGTTGTATGCTACATACTATGATATTTTAAGGATACAGAAAAATGACATACTGTGCACGATACATAGCGCAGAAATAGTATGTCAATATGCCATTTTAAACAAATGCACTTTTCGCGGGTATAAAAAGACCACGTGATGTGCTCACAACATTATTTTGAAAGCCCCATAGGCTAACATTTAAAAATAGCATACATATACATATTAAATATTAGCCTAATAAAAAAGTATTTTAATTAAATCTCGTGCCAGACATTTATATCCAAATTTATGTCATCATACTCATAATTTGCCTATATAAAAACAATTAACTGATTATTTGAGAGACCATGCATTTTCTATTGCATTTTATAACGAAAAAAAACATTGTATTATAAATATTTTTTTAAATATAGTTTGAATAACATGTATATTATTTAATGTGCAGTATTTTTATGAAAAGTACGGGTTTTTTTTTTTTGAGGGAGCCTGAAAACATCGTTTAAAAATAGCACGAACATGCTTAACTAAGCACATTTACCATATTTCTCACATTCAGTATGTTTAACCATCTCACATTAGCTGCTATTTAAAACATTTTGTGTCATTTTATTTATTTTTATTTTTTTTTTTAGAAGGTCACCGTCCAGGTCGTCAAACAAAGTTTCATTTTTGTCCCATTTCCAACTCAATAAAACAATTAAATCGCAAGCAACGATGATTTTTTTCTCTCTCTTAATTTTCCAGGCTTGGCCATTGTGGACTCGACAGAAGTGTCTCACCTGCACACATCAGACGCGTGCTTCACTCACCTCAGGTAATGACACAGGTAGAATCTCTCCAGTAGAAGTGCGCGACGGTATCCAAAAATACGACAAAATGACGCGGCAGTGGTTAAGTAAGCCTTAAAAGATTCAAACAGTTCCTTAAGGTGAGTAGTAACCTCTCCAGACGATTATTCAAGCATAGAGTGAACAGTCAAGACATTGGCCAGGTATTAAATCTACAGAGCACGTTTAAAATGTAGATCCCACCCACGTCTGAAATGGGAAGAGCAGGCAGGATTTCATTGGGGGGTTGCAGTAGGAGAGAGAACATTTACGCTTTCTTTCAGTGAGCCTACAGACATTCCCTGCTTTAGTCCACGATTGCTGCACGAGCTCTTGAAGTGCCAGTGAGAACAGAACTGACTTCAGTCTGAATTTCATTTACATGCTAGTTTCTTTATAGGCTTCCTATGAAATATTAATACGGGCTATAATAAAGATAGTAGGCATACAACTCTTTCAGAACTTATTGGAGTGCAGTTTATATGAAGGTAAAGTGAATTTTAGATCGTCCTTTAAATAAGTCAAGTATACTTAAATGTCATTTTAAGTATATTTCTGAGAAGTACATAAAGCCCATTTCTGAGAAGTACATAAAAAGTAGACTAAAAGTATACTTTCCTATTTTTAGTTTAAAAGATGTATACTAATAGCACACTTGAATAAACTTCTTTTTCGTAAGGGTGATAATGGAATTAGAAAAAAACATTGTTAAAATAGTTTTAAAGTACAGCATGTTAAACTGCATGATTCTTCATGTCAACTACCCATATAATGTATTATAAGTATTGTGTGTAACAATAAAAACAAAAAAAAAGGCAAACACTGGGATCAAATGTGACCTTCATCCTAATGTGCTCAAAGTGGGAAATAACATCAGTGACCCTTTGACCCTGTATCCTCCTGGGAAGGCCTCAAATAAAACCCAGGCAGACTGACTGAAACATCCTAAGCCTGGGGAATGACGCAAGTTTCAATTAAAGCACTTCACTCTGCTGGGAAATATCACATTTATATCCTTGGGGTCTTAATAAGAGGAATTATAACTCCCAAGCTGTTTCGAATTGAGTAAGCAATAAAATTAGCCATTTAAAAGTCAAACATTGAAAATGAGAAACTGCGAACAGATCATATTAAGTTCAAAGTATTGAGTTCTGTTAATACGTTTTTACTGTTTTTGAAAGAAGTGTTTCATGTTTATCAAGGCTGCTATTACTTGATCAAAAATATAGTAATATAATTTATTCCTGTGATGTCAAAGCTGTATTTTCAGCATCATTACTCCAGTCTTCAGTGTTACATGATCCTTCAGAAATCATTCTAATATGGTTTTCTGCTCAAAAACATTTCTTATTATCATCAGTGTTGAAACCAATTGTGCTGCTTACTGAACTGTGATACTTTTTGTTTTCAGGATTCTTTGATGAATAGAATAGAGAGTTGTGCTTGACCCAAAAAATTTTATTTTCAGCATCATTACTCCAGTCTTCAGTGTTACATGATCCTTCAGAAATCATTCTAATATGGTTTTCTGCTCAAAAACATTTCTTATTATCATCAGTGTTGAAACCAATTGTGCTGCTTACTGAACTGTGATACTTTTTTGTTTTCAGGATTCTTTGATGAATAGAATAGAGAGTTGTGCTTGACCCAAAAAATTAAAATCATGTCATTATTTACTCACCACCAGCATGTCATTCCAAACCCATGAGATCTTAGTTCTTTTGAGGAACACAAAGGGACATGTTTTCTTATTTTTACACATAAGGCTCCCCTTCTGTGCCATTGGCATTTATCCTAAAATGATTTAAAAAGGAAATTGGGATAAAAAGGATTTATTTTGAAATATTTTGCCCTAAATGTATCACATTTTCTAGCTCTATAAAAAAAATTTTTTTTAATAATTGGAAAGTTACTGTCCTCTTCATCTGCAGTCTACACATTCAAACTACCCACAGAAAAAAATGCCTTGTATTCAGAATATCTATTATCATAACTCACATCTATTACTGAATCATAAATGCTGCTTGTTTCTATGGTTAATGTCAAAAAGCGCTGTAAGACCACCACATACATAAAGGACAGCCGAGAAGGCTGTTAATGGCCCTACTTTATGAAATAATATCAATATTTATTTCGAAACCGGAAAGGACTTATTCCACGATTGGATCTTTGAGAAATGCACAGCTAGTTTACTTGAAAGGGTAAACTGCATGAGTTTGGAGAGGATGCATTTTGATTTACCACCCTTTTACCATTTTGTAACACTAAGTTTAAAATAAATATTTTTGTGCATTACTAGGGAGGATCAGAATTTCTCCCCGTTGCCAAAAGTAACCAGAGATTCAGTGAGGCAATACCTTCAATTCAGACCTGACCAATCAGTGATCATCTTACATGCCAAAGTTGCTCAGAAGTCTTACGGCAATGAGAAGAGGTAAAAATGATTTTCATTTACTGTATGCACTTACATTTCCAACAGTGAAAAATACATGCATATACATGCATACAGAATTTACTGAAAAATGTAAACTGATAAGAAAATGTCTGAATCTTGTTGGAAAAACCACATCAGACCAGCTTAAACTGGGTTTTGGAACTGGGAAGCTGGTTTGTTAGCAGATGGTCTACCAGGTCTAAACAGCTTAATAAAGACAGACTACCCATTCAACCAGGTCTCCACCAACTGGTCAACCAGCTTGGACCAGATAATGAATAGCTGGAAACCAAGCTTTTAGATTTTTTAAAAAAATGAATTCAACTGGATAATGACATTAACTTTGCAACTATGAAATAAATCATCACTGAACTGACTAATGAGCTTGCCTTCTGTACAGCTTCGAATAGCTTAATTAAACTAATAAATGAACTCATTGACAGTTATTGAACTAAATATTAAATTGAGCTGAATGATACTCGTCATCTGTAGAGATGCTTTACTGTTGGATTTGTTTCATAATTGATGAATTTTACAACAATAACACTGTTATTTTCCTGTTTATTAATGTGAAGCTGCTTTGAAGTAATCTGTATTGTGAAGCGCTAAATAAAATAAAAAAACTTGTTTTAAATGTATTTTCCTCAATGTTTTAGATGTATTTTATCACTTACTGGATCATTTACAAGAAGTAAAACTATTGCACACCCTCTTTCTTCATGTCTCATATCCAAAAATAAGTTTTGTGCATTTTCATAGGTTTTTCTGTCCGCCTCCTTGCGTGTATCTCAGTGGACACGGATGGAAACTCAGACAGGAGCAACTTAAAGGTCAGTGAGTAGTGAGAGAACATTGTGAAACAATCTTACCCTTGTAATTCACTGTAATTTTATCATTTGTGTTCACACAGCATCAGGTCTAGGAGAGTTCAGTTGTTGGCTTTTCGGTTACATGGGTCTGGACAGCTCCGCTGATCCACGGACAGACAGATTCAAGCTGAGCTTTGAGGAGCAGACAGACAGGAGGGTGAGACATTGCCGAAACCCAGCGATCAAAGAGGAGAGAGTCTGTCGGGTTTATGAGAGAACATGACTGCTGTGTGTACAGATGGATTTGGAGATGGGATCATATGTTTATTCTACTAGTGTTACAACCAGGTTTATGTAAGGAGGGCAGATGGATGAACATGAAGAAGAATGATCTTTAAACTTCCTGACCACAGAAAATAATACTCACAAATAAGATCTCTTGAATATATCACCAAAACAGCAATGAGATTAAATGGAGAGCAAACTTCTGATAAAGTTATTTCCTTGTCAAATTTATGTTGCAGGGAAAAACACACGTTCTCCGCTTCAGATGAGATCTCAAAAATGTCTCAAACTGTGCTCAGATTTACCAAGATGCAATCAAAAGATCTCAAAATAAACTTGCATGTATAACAATATTTCTTCCAAGAGCAAATGATCTGAGCTGTTTTGATGTTAATGTTATTGCTTTAGATACAATTGACAATTACACTGCCATTCAGAAGTTTGGGGTCAGTAAGAAATGAATCAGCATGATTACCATTTCAAGTTAATTCTCTTCTTTTGAACTTTTTTTAAATCAAAGAATGTCTAAAAATGTAGCATAATAAATATTAAGCAGCACAACTGTTTTCTTGAGCAGCAAATCAGCATATTAGAATGATTTCTGAAGGATCATGTGACACTGAAGACTGGAGTAATGATGCTGAAAATTCAGCTGCGCATCACAGCAATAAATTACATTTTACAATATATTCAACTATAGAAAATGGTTATTTTAAATTGTAAACATTTCACAATATTACAGTTTTTACTGTATTTTTGATCAAATAATTGGAGCCTTGGTGAGCATTCTTCTTTCAAAAAAAAAATTTGTACCAACCACAACCTTGTGAACTTTTGTAAATGTTAAAAATGTACTCACTTATGTCTTTTTTTTCAGATGTTTGCCTGCGCTAAAACCTTGTATATCTCAGATACGGACAAACGAAAGCACTTTCGCCTGCTGCTTCACCTGTTTCACAGTGGAGGGCAAGAAATCGGCACATTCAACAGCAGACTCATTAAAGTCATCTCTAAACCATCACAGAAGAGGCAGTCCATGAAAAACGCTGACCGTGAGTCTGTGCGTGTGTGTATGTGTGTGTGTCTGTGTCCATATTTAATTGTTGCGCAAGTAATAGACATTCAGTACTTAAAAAGTTTTTACAATTTTAAGTCAACCAAAAGCCAACAGGGATTTGTCATCCTTCATTTTCATCAAATTAAATATGACGTCTACTCTGACTAAGTGCCGTTACGTAAAAGGGTCAACCGGTGTAGAAACTGAACTCCTGTAAGTTTGGGTAAGCGTGTTGGTGTGTCTTTGTGTATGAGAAGCGGGGTCAAGCCACTAACTGGTGTCACCCGGCAGCCATTGCCATAGGAGTCAGACATTTGACCTCTAACCTTCTGATCCTAAAGCACACACTAAGAGGGCATCTTCTGTTGACATTGACTGTTGGACCCACAGAGAGCTTCTGGGGAAGAAAGAGGCGCTTGACATCTGAGAGCAGCTGTCAAGTGACGTTGAATTCCTCACTGTTCTGTGGGAGAGAGACAGACAATGAGACAAAGATTAAGAAAAAGAGCAGACTGGCATTAGTCACAGTA